ACATTTGGGAATCGGAGCATGTCATCAAAAAACTTTTAGGACAAAAGTTGTAGCAAATTTTATTCTTAACAATATTGCTCTCTTGTATTTTTGCTCTCAGATGCGTCAATNGTATCTAATCCGACATTTGGGAAATTTTCGCTAGTTTAAACGTAAATTAACCTAACTCAAAATCTAATTTCTACACAAAATTCTTATTTGGGCGATATTACATCGATAAAAGCAAGATTGACGATTTTTAAGCAACATGTATAAATCCATATCAAACAATTTTATTTCTAACAAAGACTGCCATGGAAAAACAAAATTGCTTTCCTGTCACTGTTAATCTCTCAAACTGTAATTTAGTAAACTTAAAGTGTTTTTTAAACAGAATGTTAACATTACAGGAAAAAGTTTACGTGATTCAGTGTTATGGAACCGGGAAAAAACCGATTATTGCTTTATTTTGTGAAAAATTTCCAAATACTGGAATTAAAAGAAGTACTTGTTGGCGTTTAATCAAAAGATTTCTTACAGCAGGAAGTATTCACTCTAAGAAAAAAAAATTATGATGAAACTGATTTGAACATTTTAAGAACGGTTTGTTTATTTCTCCCGAATAATCTGAATCTCAAAACAAAAAATTCTAATAAAGTACTATTGACGAAAATAATAAACAATGGGTTTTATCAAAGTAGGCCAATGATTCCGAAAATTTACATATGGTCATAACTTTTCATTCTGAATAGAATTTCTTAGTAACATTTTACCATACTGTAAATAGAAAAGGTACTTTACCTGACACACAAGAAGTTTTCGAAGATTCCCTTGTTTTTTAAAATTTGAAAATATGTTCAAAATTAGTCTTTAACCAAACAGGGCTGAACCCCAAAAGATGACAATTAATATAGAAAAAATTTTACATTTTATAAGAGTCGTAGCAAAAAAAATTCTTTTATTTTTTATAGCTCGAAAACGTGTAAATCAATTGAAACCATTTTTCAGAAGTGAGTTCCATAGCTTAGTGTCCTATCATTTATGTGAGTCACTGTATCTCGATATTGACGTATCTAAGAGCAAAAGTGCAAGAGAGCAATATTGTTAAAACCAAAATTTGCTACAACTTTTGTTCGAAAAGTTTTTTGATAACATGCTCCGATTTCCAAATGTTAAGATTAGCTAATAATAAAACAAGAAAATTCATCAAATTTTAAAATTTTTGTATTTTTCTCAATATTGACGAATCTGAGAGCAAATATACAAGAGAGCAGTATTGTTAATAACAAAATTTGCAACAACTTTTGCTCTAAAAGTTTTTTGATAACATGCTCCGATTCCCAAATGTTACCATTAGCTAATAATAAACCAAGGAAATTCACCAAATTTTTAAATTTTCGTGTTTTTCTCAATATTGACGAATCTGAGAGCAAATATACAAGAGAGCAATATTGTTAAGAACAAAATTTGCTACAACTTTTGTTCTAAAAGATTTTTGATAACATGCTCCGATTCCCAAATGTTACCACTAACTAATAGTAAAAAAAAATTCAACAAATTTTTTAATTTTTCTCAATATTGACGCATCTGAGAGCAAATATACACAATAGCAATATTGTTAAGAACAAAATTTACTACAACTTTTGTTCTAAAAGTTTTTCGATAACATGCTCCAATTCCCAAATGTTACCACTAGCTAATAATAAAACAAGAAAATTCGTCAAATTTTTAAATTTTCGTATTTTTTTCAATATTGACGAATCTAAGAGCAAATATACAAGAGAGCAATATTGTTAAGAATCAAATTTGCTACAACTTTTGTTAAAAAAGCTTTTTGATAACATGCTCCGATTCCCAAATGTTACCATTAGCTTATAGTAAAACAAGAAAATTCATTAAATTTTTCAATTTTCGTATTTATCTCAGTATTGACGCATCTGAGAGTAAAAATACAAGAGAGCAATATTATTAAGAACAAAATTTGCTACAACTTTTATTAAAAAAGCTTTTTGATAACATGCTCCGATTCCCAAATGTTACCATTAGCTAATAGTAAAACAAAGAAATTCATCAAATTTCCAAATTTTCGTATTTTTCTCAATATTGACGAATCTGAGAGCAAATATACAAGAGAGCAATATTGTTAAGAACAAAATTTACTACAACTTTTATTAAAAAAGCTTTTTGATAACATGCTCCGATTCCTAAATGTTACCATTAGTTAATCGTAAAACAAGAAAATTCATCAAATTTTTAAATTTTCGTATTTTTCTCAATATTGATGCATCTGAGAGCAAATATACAAGAGAGCAATATTGTTAAGAACAAAATTTGCTACAGCTTTTGTTCTAAAAGTTTTTTTGTAACTTGCTCCGAGTCCCAAATGTTACCATTAGCTAATAATAAAATAAGAAAATTCATCAAATTTTTAAATTTTCATATTAACTCAATATTGACGCATCTGAGAGCAAATATACAAGAGAGCAATATTGTTAAGAACAAAATTTGCTACAAGTTTTGTTCTAAAAGTTTTTTGATAACATGCTCCGATTCCAAAATGTTACCACTAACTGATAGTAAAACAAAAAATTCATCAAATTTTTAAATTTTCCTCAATATTGACGCATCTGAGAGCAAATATACACGAGAGCAATACTGTTAAGAACAAAATTTGCTACAACTTTTGTTCTAAAAGTTTTTTGATAATATGCTCCGATTCCCAAATGTTACCATTAGCTGATAGTAAAACAAAGAAATTCATCAAATTTCCAAATTTTCGTATTTTTCTTAATATTGTCGAATCTATCAATACATTAAAAAGTATATTTAACATTAAAAATAATAGAAATACGGAATACTTCCGGTTTTAAATGTCAACCTTAATTTTGTAGTATTCATAATCTTTACGAAAAATCCTTTAAAATGAGTCCAAACACGATGGGGTTATCTGAAAAAATAACCGAGATATTAACATTTCAATGATTTGTAGCTAACTTAATTAACGCTTTGTTAACTTTAAATTTATTGATTTTTTGCTACAACTTTGATATTTTTTAAGATAAAATAGTCGAGTTTGGACTCATTTGAAAGGGTTTTACGTAAAGATTGAGAATTTAATAAAATTAAAGTTGATATTTATAAAAAAAATACGAAAATATTAAAATTTGATGAATTTCGTTGTTTTATTATTAGCTAATGGTAACATTTGGGAATCGGAGCATGTTATTAAAAAACTTGTATAACAAAAGTTGTAGCAAATTTTGTTCTTAACAATATTGCTCTCTTGTATTTTTGCTCTCAGATGCGTCAATATTGAGATAAATACGAAAATTTAAAAATTTGATGAATTTTCTTGTTTTACTTTACCTAATGGTAATATTTAGAAATCGGAGAATGTTATCAAAAAACTTTAATAACAAAAGTTGTAGCAAATTTTGTTCTTAACAATATTGCTCTCTTTCATTCTTGCTCTCAGATGCGTCAATATCGGGAAAAATGCTAAAATATGAAAATTGGATGAATTTACTGTATTTATTGCATAATGGTGTAATTTGGGAAACGGAGCATATTACAAAAAACTTTTGAAACAAACGTTATAGCAAATTTTATTCTTAACAATATTGCTCTCTTGCATTTTTGCTCTCAGATGCGTCAATATGAAGATTTAGCTCTTCAACCTAAGGTGAAAATTTATTAATCGTGCAGAGTTTAATTAAAAAAATCATTGCAACCAGATTTATGGGAATTAGGAATTTATTTATGCCACACTGAAAATGCATTAACTTAGCTTTAAAATGACGTATATCTCACTATGATATAGCAATTGGTTTCTGAGATACGATTCAATCAATTTTATGACTACCAAAATGAACAGTGTCTAATTCAAAAAATCGTAGCAATCAAGTTTATAGAAACTAATAAATTATTTATGGTACACGAAAACTAAATTAAATTTGCTTTAAAATGCTTCTTATATCATCAGGACACCCCCGTTAGTTTTTGAGATACGATACCTTACATTTGTGGTAATACATCAAAATTTATTAATCGTGTAAAGTTTAATTAAAAAAAACATTGCAACAAGATTTATGGGAATTAAGAATTTATTTATGGCACACTAAAAATACGTTAAGTTAGCTTTAAAATGACGTAAAGCTCACTATGATATCGCAATTAGTTTCTGAGATACGATTTAATCAATCTTATAATTACCAAATTGGATGAATTTATTGCATTTATTGCATAATGGTAATATTTGGGAAAGGGAGTATATTACAAAAAAACTTTTGAAATAAAAGTTATAGCAAATTTTATTCTTAACAATATTGCTCTCTTTAATTTTTGCTCTTAGATGCGTCAATATCGAGAAAAATACTAAAATATGAAATTTGGATGAATTTATTGCATTTATTGCATAGTGGTAATATTTTGGAAGCGGAGCGTATTACAAAAGAACTTTTGAAACAAAAGTTATAGCAAATTTTATTCTTAACAATATTTCTCTCTATCATTTTTGCTCTTAGATGCGTCAATATCGAGAAAAATACGAAAATATTAAAATTTTTACAACTTTTTGGTAATCGTGTAATTTTTTTTGCCACTGCCAAATTAGAATTGTGTGTGCTCATCGGGTTCCCTAGGCCACCTTGAACATCTTAGGAACAAAAAAAATCGAAAAAATTAAAAATCGCGAATTTATGCCTTAAGGAAGTAAGTACTTAGTCATTGCCAAAATTGAAATGTGTGTATTAATCGTGTTCCCGAAGATGTTTTACATAGTTTAGATGCAAAAAATTTTCAAAAATTAAAATTTCACATTTATAGCTACTTTTTGGTAATCGTGTAATTTTTTTTGCTACTGCCAAATTTGAATTATTGAATGTGCTCATCGTGTTCCTTAGGTCATGTTGAACATTTTAGGAACAAAAAAATTAAAAGTTTATTAATAAGTTTTATGAGTTAACCCGCTCGAACGTTAATTAATTGATTAATTAATTAATTTAAAAAAAAAGAATCCTCACCCTCCAAGTCCTCCAAGCCGCCGCAATCACCCTTTGACTCCTCCTCATTTTTTGAAACTTCCTCCTCTGTCGATACCCTCGATAGCATTTCTGGATGAGAGCTGCCAAATAATGCAGTCTTTCTCGCCGGAACTCTTCTAGTTCAAAAACCGTGCGGGGGCTCCGCACAAAAACCTTCGTTCGTCCGAAAATGAATTCAGCCCCCGGAAGTGGGAGGCTTTTTAAGATTGTTGAAACTCCCTCGATGGATGGGCCGTAAAATTTGGGCCAAGTCGATGAGTTCAACATCTTGTATCTGTGTAAGAAATGGGAGTAAAGTAGGCGGTAGCAATATCCGGTTCGCCAAAGCTCCACGGTTGGGAGTAAACATAAATATCTGACCTAAAACGAAATTTAATTAAATTAATTAATAACAAAAAAAATTAAATTAATCAAATTTTATCAAAAAATTATTATTACCTGGTGTTGTACTAAAGATATCTCAAAAATTTTAGCTTGCTTAACTTCATTTGGTTTAATACATCGTATATAATGACTATGCCGTGGTAATAAACTCTTTAATAACGAATTTAGCGTTATTTTTAGGTGATTCGTGGCGGATAGAGTTCGCTTTAAAGTACACCGTTTCGGATTTCCCTCCGGAAATAGTTCCTGCACCAACGAGTTATTACACCTGTACATGGCGCGATAAAGCTCTTTTGAGAGATCGTTGCGATTTCGCTCGATGAAGTTCCGAATTGTGTAGGTAACTGGACCGGCGAAGTGCTTAATTCTGGAAATAAATAAAAAAAAATGTAATTTAAAAATTCGTGGAAGCAGAGTTATATATAAAATTTTTTTTGATCAAATCAAAAATTTTTATTAACAAAATTTGTTTAAAATTACTCCAGGAACAGAGTTTGTTAATAAAATTTTTTGCTAACTTGATATTTTAATTTCCCTCTGAATAGTATAAAAATTATTTTTTTGAGGAAATATCCTTATTATTGATTTAATCAAAAAATGTTGTTAACAAAATTTGTTTAGAATCACTCCAGGAACAGAGTTTGTTAATAAAATTTTTTGCTAACTTGAAATTTTAATTTCCCTCTGAATAGTACAAAAATTATTTTTTTGAGGTAATATCCTTATTGTTGATTTAATCAAAAATTTTTATTAACAAAATTTGTTTAGAATTCCCATAGGAACAGAGTTTGTTAATAAAATTTTTTGCTAACTTGAAATTTTAATTTCCCTCTGAATAGTATAAAAATTAATATTTTTGAGGTAATATCCTTCTTATTGATTTAATCAAAAAATGTTGTTAACAAAATTTGTTTAGAATTACTTCAGGAACAGTGTTTGTTAATACAATTTTTTGCTAACTTGAAATTTTAATTTCCCTCTGAATAGTATGCTATCAAAATTAATTATCTCAATAATTATTGTTTTTATCAAAAAATGTTTTAAATAAAACTTGTTTCAATTTCGATTTTGAATCAATTATCTTAATAAAAAAAATTTACATCTCTATTAATTAAGCATCTAACGTAAGTATAATTATGTATAAAAACGGAAAAATTATTATTTTGAGGTTATCTCTTTAATTATTGATTAAATCAAAAAAAAATTGTTGACAAGGCTTGTTTAGAATTGTTTCAGGAACAATTTCTGTTAACACAATTTTTTTCTAACTTGAAATTTTAATTTCCCACTGAATAGTATGCTACAAAAATTAATATTTTTGAGGTAATATCCTTATTATTGATTTAATCAAAAAATGTTGTTAACAAAATCTGTTTAGAATTACTCCAGGAAAAGAGTTTGCTAATAAAATTTTTTGCTAACTTGAAATTTTAATTTCCCTCTGAATAGTATAAAAATTAATATTTTTGAGGTAATATCCTTATTTTTGATTTAATCAAAAAATTTTGTTAACAAAATTTGTTTATAATTGCCTCAGGAACAGTGTTTGTTAATAAAATTTTTTGCTAATTTGAAATATTAATTTCTCTCTGAATAGTATAAAAATTAATATTTTTGAGGTAATATCCTTATTATTGATTTAATCAAAAATCAGATATAGAGATATCACCTGAGTGTTGTTGAAAACGTTAAAATGGCGTTTTTTGGGTTATACTCAAATAAATTACAAATAATAAATGGTGGAATATAAAGGGTGATGGGAAATGTTTTTGGGGGTGTTACCGAATATTTTTTAATAACAAAACTTTTTTCAGACACTCTTAGTTTTTGAGATATCACCTCAGTGTTGTTGAGAGCGTCAAAATGTCGTTTTTTGTGTTATACTCAAATAAATTAGAAATAATAAATGCTGGAATATAAAGGGTGGTGGGAAATGTTTTTGGGGATGTTACCGAATATTCTTTAATAACAAAACTTTTTTCCCACACTCTTAGTTTTTGAGATATCACCTCAGTGTTGTTGAGAGTGTCAAAATGTCGTTTTTGTGTTATACTCAAATAAATTAGAAATGATAAATGCTGGAATATAAAGGGTGGTGGGAAATGTTTTTGGGGATGTTACCGAATATTTTTTAATAACAAACCTTTATTCCCCCACAATTAGTTTTTGAGATATCACCTCAGTGTTGTTGAGAGCGTCAAAATGACGCTTTTTGGGTTATACTCAAATAAATTAGAAATAATAAATGGTGGAATATAAAGGGTAATGGGAAATGTTTTTGGGGATGTTACCGAATATTTTTTAATAACAAAACTTTATTCCCCCACAATTAGTTTTTGAGATATCACCTCAGTGTTGTTGAGAGCGTCAAAATGACGCTTTTTGGGTTATACTCAAATAAATTAGAAATAATAAATGGTGGAATATAAAGGGTAATGGGAAATGTTTTTGGGGATGTTACCGAATATTTTTTAATAACAAAACTTTTTTCCCACACTCTTAGTTTTTGAGATATCACCTCATTGCCGTTGAAAGAGTCAAAATGGCGTTTTTTAGGTTATCCTCAAATAAATTAGAAATAATAAATGCTGGAATATAAAGGGTGGTGGGAAATGTTTCTGGGGATGTTACCGAATATTTTTTAATAACAAAACTTTTTTCCCACACTCTTAGTTTTTGAGATATCACCTTAGTGTTGTTGAGAGCGTCAAAATGGCGTTTTTTGGGTTATACTCAAATAAATTAGAAATAATAAATGGTGAAATATAAAGGGTGGTGGGAAATGTTTTTGGGGATGTTACCGAATATTTTTTAATAACAAAACTTTTTTGCCCCACAATTAGTTTTTGAGATATCACCTCATTGCCGTTGAAAGAGTCAAAATGGCGTTTTTTAGGTTATCCTCAAATAAATTAGAAATTGTTAATGCTGGAATATAAAGGGTGATGGAAAATGTTTTTGGGGAAGTTACCGAATAGTTTTTAATAACAAATCTTTTTTCCCCCACTCTTAGTTTTTGAGATATCACCTCAGTGTTGTTGAAACCGCCAAAATGGCGTTTTTTAGGTTAAACTCAAATAAATTAGAAATAATAAATGCTGGAATATAAAGGATGATGGGAAACGTTTTTGGGGATGTTACCGAATATTTTTTAATAACAAAACTTTTTTCCCACACTCTTAGTTTTTGAGATATCGCCTCAGTGTTGTTGAAACCGTCAAAATGGCGTTTTTTGGGTTATACTCAAATAAATTAGAAATAATAAATGCTGGAATATAAAGGATGATGGGAAATGTTTTTGGGGATGTTACCGAATATTTTTTAATAACAAGACTTTTTACCACACTCTTAGTTTTTGAGTTATCACCTCATTGCTGTTGAAACAATCAAAATGGCGTTTTTTAGGTTATACTCAAATAAATTAGAAATAATAAATGGTGGAATATAAAGGGTGATGGGAAATGTTTTTGGGGATGTTACCGAATATTTTTTAATAACAAAACTTTATTACCCCACAATTAGTTTTTGAGATATCACCTCAGTGTTGTTGAGAGCGTCAAAATGACGCTTTTTGGGTTATACTCAAATAAATTAGAAATAATAAATGGTGGAATATAAAGGGTGGTGGGAAATGTTTTTGGGGATGTTACCGATTTTTTTTTAATAACAACACTTTTTTCCCCCACTCTTAGTTTTTGAGATATCACCTATACTGCAATAAATAATAAAATAATTTCACTTACTGGAAGCTGCTCTTTGGAATGATGGGGTCCCCAATTAAGCAATGTGAGTGTCCAGCGCAGCATTGCTCTATCCTCGTTAAGTACCCTTGATCGGAATGCGACGTCGGTTCCTCCAATAGCGACAAAATTCCATGAGTTTCGTGCTCTAACAGCTGACATATGCTGCTGCAAATAAAATCAATCAAACACTCAAAAAAAATCGATTAAGCAAATAAAAAAATTTACCCATTACTAAAATACTCAATCCTAGTCCACTCCAGCCCCTCCTTAACAATTTCTTCCTGCTCCTCCTTCAACGTGCACATCAAAATCGCCTGTTGCAGCTTTTCATTGCAATAATTAATGAGCAACTGTTCCAACCCGTTATTTTCGAACGTTTCAAACCCGTAGAAATCTAAAACGCCCAAAACTTTACGTTTATTACACCGCGTTTGTCTCGAAACCTTAAACCCAATCAACTAAATTAATTTATTTTGCCAAATTTGTTTTTTATACTTTTAGTTTGTCGTTGATTTTATTAACAAGCCACGTAAACAATCGGCTGTACAATATCCTGCAGAGGGAGTCGTTCGTTTTTGACGCTTCGAACGAATTTAATTCGGCCAAAATACCTTCGTCTAAATACCGACTCGTTAAACTCCGTTGTAACCATTTGAATTCGACGTTTAAAATTTCACAGACGTCGTATAATTCTAAAAAAAGTTTTTGTTTGGTGATTTTATTTAATAATTAACCATCGAGCGGTCATAAAGTTTATGAGACCTAATTTAGCCGACTTGAGAAATCATTAAAAAGTTTCCGGACATCTTCAAAAATGCTCTGGAAATCTTTATCACTGTCTAGAAAGCGTTTAGACACTATTTAATAACCATAGGGACCATTAAATATCTTTTAGACACTTTTGGTCATCTATTACTACAAGTCAAATTTAAAATTTTTTCGTTTTTTTTGTTCCTAAAATGTTCAACTTGACCTAAGGAACACGATGAGCACACACAATTCTAATTTGGCAGTATCAAAAAAAATTACACCATTGCAAAATGTAGCAATAAATGTAAAATTTTAATTTTTGAAAATTTTTTGCTTCTAGACTACGTAAAATATGCTTGGGAACACGACTAATACACACATTTCAATTTTGGCAATGACTAAGTACTAACTTCCTTAAGTCATAAATTCGCGATTTTTAATTTTTTCGACATTCTTTGTTCCTAAGATGCTCAACGTGGCCTACGGAACACGATGAGAACACACAATTCTAGTTTGGCAGTGACAAAAAAAATTACACGATTGCAAAAGGTTGTAAAAATTTTAATATTTTTGTGTTTGAGCAAAATTTGCTACAACTTTTGTTCCAAAAGTTTTTTTGTAACATGCTCCGATTCCCAAATGTTACCATTAGCTAATAGTAAAACAAGAAAATTCATCAAATTCTAAAATTTTCGTATTTTTCTCAATATTGACAAATCTGAGAGCAAATATACAAGAGAGCAATATTGTTAAGAACAAAATTTGCAACAACTTTTGTTCTAAAAGTTTTTTGATAACATGCTCCGATTCCCAAATGTTACCATTAGNAATATCCTGCAGAGGGAGTCGTTCGTTTTTGACGCTTCGAACGAATTTAATTCGGCCAAAATACCTTCGTCTAAATACCGACTCGTTAAACTCCGTTGTAACCATTTGAATTCGACGTTTAAAATTTCACAGACGTCGTATAATTCTAAAAAAAGTTTTTGTTTGGTGATTTTATTTAATAATTAACCTTCCAGCGGTCATAAAGTTTATGAGACCTAATTTAGCCGACTTGAGAAATCATTAAAATGTTTCTGGACACTTCTGGACAAATTCAAAAATGATCCGGAAATCTTTATCACTGCCTAGAAAGCGTTTAGACACTATTTAATAACCATAGAGACCATTAAAAAGCTTTTAGACACTTTTGGTCATCTATTACTAAAAGTCAAATTTAAAATTTTTTCGTTTTTTTTGTTCCTAAGATGTTCAACGTGACCTAAGAAACACGATGAGCAGACACAATTCTAATTTGGCAGTGGCAAAAAAAATTACACGATTGCAAAAAGTTGTAAAAATTTTAATATTTTTGTGTTTTTCTCGATATTGACGCATCTGACAGCAAAAATACAAGAGAGCAATATTTTTAAGAATAAAATTTGCTATAACTTTTGTTCTAAAAGTTTTTTGATAACATGCTCCGATTCCCAAATGTTACCATTAGCTAATAGTAAAACAAGAAAATTCATCAAATTCTAAAATTTTCGTATTTTTCTCAATATTGACAAATCTGAGAGCAAATATACAAGAGAGCAATATTGTTAAGAACAAAATTTGCAACAACTTTTGTTCTAAAAGTTTTTTGATAACATGCTCCGATTCCCAAATGTTACTATTAGCTAATAGTAAAACAGAAAATTCATAAAATTTTTAAATTTTCGTATTTTTCTCAATATTAACGCATTTGAGAGCAAAAATGCAAGAGAGGAATATTGTTAAGAACAAAATTTGCTACAACTTTTGTTTCAAAAGTTTTTTGATACCATGCTCCAATTCCCAAATATTACCATTAGCTAATAGTAAAACAAGAAAATTCATCAAATTTTTAAATTTTCGTATCTTTCTCAAAATTAACGCATCTGAGAGCAAAAATACAAGAGAGCAATATTGTTAAGAACAAAATTTGCAACAACTTTTGTTCTAAAAGTTTTTTGTTAACATGCTCCGATTTCCAAATGTTACCATTAGCTAATAGTAAAACAAGAAAATTCATCACATTTTTAAATTTTTCTCAATATTGACGCATCTGAGAGCAAAAATACAAGAGAGCAATATTGTTAAGAACAAAATTTGCAACAACTTTTGTTCTAAAAGTTTTTTGACAACATGCTCCGATTCCCAAATGTTACCATTAGCTAATAGTAAAACAAGAAAATTCATCAAATTTTTAAATTTTCGTATTTATCTCAATATTGATGCATCTGAGAGCAAAAATACAAAAGAGCAATATTGTTAAGAACAAAATTTGCAACAACTTTTGTTCTAAAAGGTTTTTGACAACATGCTCCGATTCCCAAATGTTACCATTAGCTAATAGTAAAACAAGAAAATTCATCAAATTTTTAAATTTTTCTCAATATTGACGCACCTGAGAGCAAAAATACAAGAGAGCAATATTGTTAAGAACAAAATTTGCAACAACTTTTGTTCTAAAAGTCTTTTGATAACATGCTCCGATTCCCAAATGTTACCATTAGCTAATAGTAAAACAAGAAAATTCTCAATATTGACGCATCTAAGAGCAAAAATACAAGAGAGCAATATTGTTAAGAACAAAATTTGCAACAACTTTTGTTCTAAAAGTTTTTTGACAACATGCTTCGATTCCCAAATATCTAGTGTAAGTTAGATCTGATCTCATAAAATTTATGACAAGCGCTCGCTCCAAAGTTATTAATTAATAATTACTTACCATAATCGTTTGCGATGCAACAACCTTCCGTTCCATCGATGTTATTGCAAGGAACGAATTTTAAATTCCCCAATTTTAAAATAACAGCGATTACTTGGAAGATATTTAGAACCTCTTCTGGTGCAAAGTTGAGAATTTCTAAAGCGTTTTTTGTATACACGAAAAGTTGCTTGTCTTTTTCGTCGGTTTGGGTGGGAACGTGGTCGTCGTGGGATTGCAAAATTTCGTATTGCTCAACGTTTCGTTGCAATTTAAGACATTCTAAAAGATTGTTTTTTTTTTATTATAATTATTTTGAATGAAGTACTTGGTTTTACTTAGGAGTTGGATGTCTGCTCCTGAGAGTAGTTGGTAGAATATGTGGAAGTTTCGATCGCCAAACGATAAATTTGTGACCCTAGACTGTAAAATAAAATCATAAAATAAATGTATTGCTTTAGGAATTTCGATTTTAATAAATCGATATACTGGAAAGTATTTTGAATGATTAAATACCTTATCCAAAAAATCTGCAGTATGGAAAGTACATAAAGGAAAGTATATGATAAAATCGTTGTTGTATGATATAAAATTACGGTTAAAGATTTTAAGGACAAATTTAATTTTAATAATTCAAATTATCTAAGAAAGCTTTTTTCTCAAAATTTTTTTATATAAAATTTTTAAACAACATACAGATTTCGAAAGAAGACATCTTCAGCATCAACTTGAGCCATAAATCGCTTCTTCATTATCATACATAAAAAAGTTATGATTTTTTGAAAATTAACTATTTTTTTTCAATCTAGTCAAATTATCTAAGAAAGCTTTTTTCTCAAAATTTTTAAACAACATACAGATTTCGTAAGAAGACATCTTCAGCTTCAATTTGAGCCATAAATCGCTTCTTCATTATCATAAATAGAGAAGTTATGATTTTTTGAAAATTAACTATTTTCTTTAAACCTAATCAAATTATCTAAGAAAGCTTTTTTCTCAAAATTTTTTTATATAAAATTTTTAAACANAAAAAATGATATTAACGAAAATAATTCCTTTTTTAATTCTAAATAAATATTTTTTATAAAATTTTTCGATTAAAACGATATTCTTCGAGATACATTGAGTTTCATTTTACGTACTATTCAGTGGGAAATTAAAATATTGGAATTTCAAAAAATGATATTAACGACAATAATTCCTTTTTTAATTCTAAATAAATATTCCTTTCAAAATTTTTCGATAAAAGCGATATGCTTCGAGATACATTGAGTATCATTTTACGTACTATTCAGTGGGAAATTAAAACATCGGAATTTCAAAAAATGATATTAACGAAAATAATTCCTTTTTTAATTCTAAATAAATATTTCTTAAAAAATTTTTCGATAAAAACGATGTAGTTTGAGATACATTGAGTATCATTTTACGTACTATTCAGTGGGAAATTAAAATATTGGAATTTCAAAAAATGATATTAACGAAAATAATACCTTCTTTAATTCTAAATAAATATTCCTTACAAAATTTTTCGATTACAACGATATTCTCCAAGATACATTGAGTATCATTTTACGTACTCTTCAGTGGGAAATTAAAATATTGGAATTTCAAAAAATGATTTTAACGAAAATAATTTCTTTTTTAATTCTAAATAAATATTTTTTATAAAATTTTTCGATTAAAACGATATTCTTCGAGATACATTGAGTTTCATTTTACGTACTATTCAGTGGGAAATTAAAATCTTGGAATTTCAAAAAATGATATTAACGAAAATAATTGCATTTTTAATTCTAAATAAATATTCCTTACAAAATTTTTCGATAAAAACGATATGCTTCGAGATACACTGAGTATCATTTTACGTACTATTCAGTGGGAAATTAAGATATTGGAATTTCAAAAAATGATTTTAACGAAAATAATTCCTTTTTTAATTCTAAATAAATATTCCTTACAAAATTATTCGATTAAAACGATATTCTTCGAAATATATTGAGTTTAATTTTACGTACTATTCAGTGGGAAATTAAAATATTGGAATTTCAAAAAATGCTATTAACGAAAATAATTGCTTTTTTAATTCAAAATAAATATTCCTTACAAAATTTTTCGATTAAAACGATATGTTTCGAGATACATTGAGTATCATTTTACGTACTATTCAGTGGGAAATTAAAATATTGGAATTTCAAAAAATGATATTAACGAAAAAAATTCCTTTTTTAATTCTAAATAAAAATTCCTTAAAATTTTTTTCGTTAAAAACGATATTCTTCGAGATACATTGAGTATCATTTTACGTACTATTCAGTGGGAAATTAAAATATTGAAATTTCAAAAAATGATTTTAACGANCGCTTCTTCGTTATCATAAATAAAAAAGTTATGATTTTTTGAAAATTAACTATTTTTTTTAAACCTTATCAAATTATCTAAGAAAGCTTTTTTCTCAAAAATTTTTCATATAAAGTTTTTAAACAACATACAGATTTCGAAAGAAGACATCTTAAGCTTCAATTTGAGCCATAAATCGCTTCTTCATTATCATAAATAAAAAAGTTATGATTGTTTGAAAATTAACTATTTTTTTTCAATCTAATGAAATTATCTAAGAAAGCTTTTTTTCTCAAAATTTTTTTATATAAAATTTTTAAACAACATACAGATTTCGAAAGAAGGCATCTTCAGCTTCAATTTGAGCCATAAATCGCTTCTTCATTATCATAAATAAAGAAGTTATAATTTTTTGAAAATTAACTATTTTTTTTCAATCTCATCAAATTATCTAAGAAAGGTTCTTTCTCAAAATTTTTTTATATAAAGCTTTTAAACAACATACAGCTTTCGAAAGAAGACATCTTCAGCTTCAATTTGAGTCAGAAATCGCTTCTTCATTATCAAAAAAAAAAAAGTTATGATTTTTTGAAAATTAACTATTTTTTTTAAAGCTAATCAAATTATCTAAGAAAGCTTTTTTCTCAAAATTTTTTTATATAAAATTTTTAAACAACAAAAATAAGTTTTTTTACAATTCTAAATAACATTTCTTAAAAAAATTGTCGATTAAAACGATATACTTCGAGATACATTGAGTATCATTTTACGTACTATTCAGTGGGAAATTAATATATTGGAATTTCAAAAAATGATTTTAACAAAAATAATTGCTTTTTTAATTCTAAATAAATATTTTTTATAAAATTTTTCGATTAAAACGATATGTTTCGAGATACATTGAGTATCATTTTACGTACTATTCAGTGGGAAATTAAAATATTGGAATTTCAAAAAATGATTTTAACGAAAATAATTCCTTTTTTAATTCTAAATAAATATTCCTTACAAAATTTTTCGATTAAAGCGATGTGCTTCGAGATACATTGAGTTTCATTTTACGTACTATTCAGTGGGAAATTAAAATATCGGAATTTCAAAAAATAATTTTAACGAAAATAATTGCTTTTTTGATTCTAAATAAATATACTTTACAAAATTTTTCTATAAAAGCGATATTCTTCGAGATACATTGAGTATCATTTTACGTACTATTCAGTGGGAAATTAAAATATTGGAATTTCAAAAAATAATATTAACGAAAATAATTCCTTTTTTAATTCTAAATAAAAATTCCTTAAAAAATTTTTCGGCTAAAACGATATTCTTCAAGATACATTGCGTATCATTTTACGTACTATTCAGTGGGAAATTAAAATATTGGAATTTCAAAAAATTATTTTAACGAAAATAATTCCTTTTTTAATTCTAAATAAATATTCCTTAATAAATTTTTCGATTAAAACGATATGTTTCGAGATACATCGAGTTTAATTTTACGTACTATTCAGTGGGAAATTAAAATATTGGAATTTCAAAAAATGATGTTAACGAAAATAATTGCTTTTTAAATTCTAAATAAATATTTTTTATAAAATTTTTCGATTAAAACGATATTCTTCGAGATACATTGAGTTTCATTTTACGTACTATTCAGTGGGAAATTAATATATTGGAATTTCAAAAAATGATTTTAACAAAAATAATTGCTTTTTTAATTCTAAATAAATATTTTTTATAAAATTTTTCGATTAAAACGATATGTTTCGAGATACATTGAGTATCATTTTACGTACTATTCAGTGGGAAATTAAAATATTCAAATTTCAAAAAATGATTTTAACGAAAATAATTCCTTTTTTAATTCTAAATAAATATTCCTTACAAAATTTTTCGATGAAAACGATATGCTTCGAGATAGATTGAGTATCATTTTACGTACTATTCAGTGGGAAATTAAAATATTGAAATATCAAAAAATGACATTAACGAAAATAATTGCTTTTTTGATTCTAAACAAATATTCCTTACAAAATTTTTCGATTAAAACGATATTTTCCGAGATACATTGAGTTTCATTTTACGTACTATTCAGTGGGAAATTAAAATATTGGAATTTCAAAAAATGATATTAACGAAAATAATTCCTGTTTTAATTCTAAATAAATATTCCTTACAAAATTTTTCGATTAAAACGATATTCTCCGAGATATATTGAGTATAATTTTACATACTATTCAGTGGGAAATTAAAATATTGGAATTTCAAAAAATGATATTAACGAAAAAAATTCCTTTTTTAATTCTAAATAAATATTCCTTAAAAAATTTTTCGATAAAAACGATGTAGTTCGAGATACATTGAGTTTAATTTCCCACTGAATAGTACGTAAAATATACTATTCAGTGGGAAATTAAAATGTTGGAATTTCAAAAAATGATTTTAACGAGAATAATTGCATTTTTAATTCTAAATAAATATTCCTTACAAAATTTTTCGATTAAAACGATATTCTTCGAGATATATTGAGTTTCATTTTACGTATTATTCAGTGGGAAATTATAATATTGGAATTTCAAAAAATGATTGTAACGAAAATAATTCCTTTTTTAATTCTAAATAAATATTCCTTATAAAATTTTTCGATAAAAACGATATACTTCGAGATATATCGAGTTTCATTTTGCGTACTATTCAGTGGGAAATTAAAATATTGGAATTTAAAAAAATGATATTAACGAAAATTATTGCTTTTTTAATTCTAAATAAATATTTCTTACAAATTTTTTCGATTAAATCGATATTCTCCGAGATACATTGAGTATCATTTTACGTACTATTCAGTGGGAAATTAAAATGTTGGAATTTCAAGAAATGATTTTAACATAAATTATTCCTTTTTTAATTCTAAATAAATATTCCTTAAAAAATTTTTCGATTAAAACGATATTCTTCGAGATACATCGAGTTTCATTTTACGTACTATTCAGTGGGAAATTAAAATATTGGAATTTCAAAAAATGCTATTAACGAAAATAATTGCTTTTTTAATTCTGAATAAATATTCCTTACAAAATTTTTCGATTAAAACGATGTTTCGAGATACATTGAGTATCATTTTAAGTACTATTCAGTGGGAAATTAAAAAATTTGAATTTCAAAAAATGATATTAACGAAAAAAATTCCTTCTTTAATTCTAAATAAAAATTCGTTAAAATTTTTTTCGATAAAAACGATATTCTTCGAGATACATTGAGTATCATTTTACGTACTATTCAGTGGGAAATTAAAATATTGAAATTTCAAAAAATGATTTTAACGAAAATAATTCCTTTTTTAATTCTAAATAAATATTCCTTACAAAATTATTCGATAAAAACGATATGCTTCGAGATACATTGAGTTTCATTTTACGTACTATTCAGTGGGAAATTAAAATATTGGAATTTCAAAAAATTATTTTAACGAAAATAATTCCTTTTTTAATTCTAAATAAATATTCCTTAATAAATTTTTCGATTAAAACGATATGTTTCGAGATACATCGAGTTTAATTTTACGTACTATTCAGTGGGAAATTAAAATATTGGAATTTCAAAAAATGATGTTAACGAAAATAATTGCTTTTTAAATTCTAAATAAATATTTTTTATAAAATTTTTCGATTAAAACGATATTCTTCGAGATACATTGAGTTTCATTTTACGTACTATTCAGTGGGAAATTAAAATATTGGAATTTCAAAAAGTGATTTTAACGAAAATAATTGCTTTTTTAATTCTAAATAAATATTCCTGACAAAATTTTTTGATAAAATTAATAATTCTTGAGATAACCTCAAAAATATCATTTTCATACCAGTGTGCAACGCCACCTGGAGGAGATTTAGAATTTTTTAGTTAAAAAATTGATTTTAAATGACTTTATAAATAAATATTATATGAAACATTTTTCGATAAAAATGATATGCTTCGAGATACACTGAGTTGTATTGAATATCATTTTATGTACTATTCAGTGGGAAATTAAAATATTGGAATTTCAAAAAATGATTTTAACGAAAATAATTCCTTTTTTAATTCTAAATAAATATTTTTTATAAAATTTTTCGATTAAGACGATATTCTTCGAGATACGTTGAGTTTTATATTACGTACTATTCAGTGGGAAATTAAAATTTTGTAATTTCAAAAAATGATATTAACGAAAATAATTCCTTTTTTAATTCTAAATAAATATTCCTTACAAAACTTTTCAATTAAAACGATATTCTTCGAGATACATTGAGTTTCATTTTACGTACTATTCAGTGGGAAATTAAAATATTGGAATTTCAAAAAATGATTTTAACGAAAATAATTGCTTTTTTAATTCTAAATAAATATTTTTTATAAAATTTTTCGATTAAAACGATATTCTTCGAGATACATTGAGTTTCATTTTACGTACTATTCAGTGGGAAATTAAAATATTGGAATTTCAAAAAATGATATTAACGAAAATAATTGCTTTTTTAATTCTAAATAAATATTTTTTATAAAATTTTTCGATTAAAACGATATTCTTCGAGATACATTGAGTTTCATTTTACGTACTATTCAGTGGGAAATTAAAATATTGGAATTTCAAAAAATGATATTAACGAAAATAATTCCTTTTTTAATTCTAAATAAATATTTTTTATAAAATTTTTCGATTAAAACGATATTCTTCGAGATACATTGAGTTTCATTTTACGTACTATTCAGTGGGAAATTAAAATATTGGAATTTCAAAAAATGATTTTAACGAAAATAATTCCTTTTTTAATTCTAAATAAATATTCCTTACAAAATTTTTCGATTAAAACGATATTCTTCGAAATATATTGAGTTTAATTTTACGTACTATTCAGTGGGAAATTAAAATTTTGGAATTTCAAAAAATGATATTAACGAAAATAATTCCTTTTTTAATTCTAAATAAATATTTTTTATAAAATTTTTCGATTAAAACGATATTCTTCGAAATATACTGAGTTTAATTTTACGTACTATTCAGTGGGAAATTAAAACATTGGAATTTCAAAAAATGATATTAACGAAAATTATTGCATTTTTAATACTAAATAAATATTCCTTACAAAATTTTTTAATAAAATTAATAGTTCATGAGATAAACTCAAAAATGAGTTTTATTATGAAGATATGGGCTCAATCTAAAAACGCTTTATCTCAAAAACTAAAAGACATTTTCAAAATCGGTTTGATTCACTGAAAAGGTGACACTTGACTCTATAATTTTTGAAAATTTCGTTGTGATATCCTAAATCCCCGATTTTTGGCGATTTTTTAAAAATTGAGGTGCAAATTTAGGTTTTATATTGTTATTGTTATTAATAATAATAAAGAATGCGACAATTTAGCTCCAAAATAGTATTAAAAACCATCTAGGTAGATTTAAAATTGTATTGGAGAGATTATTAAGTCTCTTTTTACATATTCCAACTCTTTTATTTGGTGATTTATCCTTAAAATCTTCAAAATTGACTTAATTAATCAAAAATTATCTACTTACAGTTGGTTAAGAAGCCACCAATAGGTTCCCCTCTAAAATTGAACTGAATATCCAAAAATTTCCCCTAAAAATGAACCAAATTAGTTAAATTAATCAAATTAGACCAACTTTTTGCTCACAAATCTTGAGGCATTCTTATTTTTAACAGTTCTTGCATTCCCAAAAGCCTCCAAAACAGTATTAGCTTGCACCAATTGGTCATTACAAAGTTTAACCTCTTTTGAGACATTTCCTGAGGTTAAAACCAAAAATTGGAGCACAATTCGAGCAGCCTCTGTCTTTCCTGATCCACTTTCACCGGTTATTATAATACATTGATCTTCATTTCTATCTTGAAGCCATCTGTAAGCTGTATTTGTTATTCCATATCTAAAATTGATCAATTTTATTAATAATTTTAATTTAATTCAAAAAAAAATTACTTACATGTGTGGAGGAAGTTGAAAAGGCGCCCTACGAGCATAATTAGCTGCTAAATCGGCCGAATACAAGGCGAGCTTTTTATAAGGATTAACCGAAATCAAAACATTCCCAATATACGTATAAATTTGGTCCCTTTTGAACCTTTGGTGCAGATTCGAAAGGAAGGCATCCTCGGTGAGGGGCTCGAGTAAAACTGCATCCCACACGCCTATATCTTGCTCCCAATTGAGCATCACAAAGTCACAAAACGATTTTTTTTAGATTATCTTACACTTTTTCTGGGTGACATAACCTCACTTTTTTTGTTTCGCTTGTAGCGGTGTTGTGGGGGCGAAAAAACGATTTTACCATAAAATCGATACCAAGGAATACAAAATCGACGATTTTAACCACTAAATAGGAGCGTGTTATTAAAAAATATGATTTTTTTGGGGTTTAACCTCAATAATGCGAAACGAAATGTCACTTGAAATTATTAGACATGAAATCAGGGGTGCCAAATTAATTTTTTTTTTTTGATTTGAATTAATTTTTTTGATTTAAATTGATTTAATGTTAATTCGATTAAGAATTAATTAAATTAAACAATAATAATTCGATTAAAATCGAATTAGAAATTTTTTAATTTTTAATTAACCCTTTGAAGTCCCTTTTAAGATATTTTTGGTAATACTTGGGAATCGGAGCTTGTTATAAGAAAACTTTTATAACAAAAATTGTTGCAAATTTTATTGTTAATAATATTGCTCTCTTGTATTTTTGCTCTTAGATGCGTCAATATCGAGATATATACGAATTCGTTGCTCTTTCAAGATATTAAAGGTAATCGGAGTCTGCTATAAGAAATCTCTTATAACAAAAATTGTTGCAAATTTTATTGTTAATAATATTGTTCTCTTGCACTTTTGCTATTAGATGCGTCAATATCGAGATATATACGAAAATTTGATGAATTTATTGCTTTTTCAAGATATTAAAGGTAACATTTGGGAATCTGAGTTTGTTATAAGAAAACTTTTATAACAAAAATTGTTGCAAATTTTATAGTTAATAATATTGCTCTCTTCCACTTTTGCTCATAGATACGTCAATATCGAGATATATACGAAAATTTTATGAATTTGTTGCTCTTTCAAATGATTAAAGGTAACACTTGAGAATCGGAGAATGCTATAAGAAAACTTTTATAGCAAAAATTGTTGCAAATTTGATTGTTAACAATATTGCTCTCTTGCACTTTTGTTCTTAGATACGTCAAAATCGAGATAGATACGAAAATATGAAAATTTGATGAATTTGTTGCTCTTTCAAGTGATTAAAGGTTACACTTGGAAATCGGAGCATGTTATAAGAAAACTTTTATAACAAAAATTGTTGTAAATTTTATTGTTAACAATATTGCTCTCTTGCACTTTTGCGCTTAGATACGTCAATATCGAGATAGATACGAAAATAAGAAAATTTTATGAATTTATTGCTCTTTCAAGTTACTAAAGGCAACACCTGGGAATCGGAGCGTGCTATAAGAAAACTTTTATAACCAAAATTGTTGCAAATTTTATTGTTAACAATATTGCTCTCTTGCACTTTTGCGCTTAGATACGTCAATATCGAGATAGATACGAAAATATGAAAATTTTATGAATTTGTTGCTCTTTCAAGATATTAAATGTAACACTTGGGAATCGGAGCTTGCTATAAGAAAACTTTTATAACAAAAATTATTGCAACTTTTATTGTTAATAATATTGCTCTCTTGTATATTTGCTCTTAGATGCGTCAATATTGAGAAAAATACAAAAATTTTAATATTTCATGAATTTCCTTGTTGTACCATTAGCTCATGGTAACATTCGGGAATCGAAGCATGTTATAAAAAAACTTTTAGGACAAAAGTTGTACCAAATCTTATTCTTAACAATATTGCTCTCTTGTATATTTGCTCTCAGATACGTCAATATCCAGAAAAATACGAAAATTTGAAAATTTTATGAATTTCGTTGCTTTACCAATTGTTAATGGTAACACTTGAAAATTGGAGCAAGTTACAAACAAATTTTTACAACAAAAGTTGTAGCAAATTTTATACTTAGCAATATTGCTCTCTTCTATTTTTGCTCTCAGATGCATAGATATTGAGAAAAATGCGAAAATATGAAAATTTGAAGAATTTGTTGTTTTACTACAAGTTAATGGGTAGGACTCGGAAATCGGAGCGTGTTACAAAAAAAACTTTTAGAACAAAAGTTGTAGCAAATTTTATTATTACCAATATTACTCTCTTGTAGTCTTGCTCTCAGATGCGTCAATATTGAGAAAAATGCGAAAATATGAAAATTTGAAGAATTTGTTGTTTAACTACAAACTAATAGGTAGCACTCGGGAATCGAAGCATGTTACAAAAAAACTTTTAAAACAAAAGTTGTAGCAAATTTTATTCTTGTTAATATTGTTCTGTTGTATTTTTGCTCTCAGATGCGTCAATATTGAGAAATATACAAAAATATGAAAAGTTAATGTTTTTCGTAATTTTACTAGTAGGTAATGGTAGCACTCGAAAATCGGAGCATGATACAAAAAAACTTGTAGAACAAAAGTTGTAGTAAATTTTATTCTTATCAATCTTGCTCTGTTGTATTTTTGCTCTTAGATGCGTCAATATTGAGAAAAATGCAAAAATATGAAAATCTGAAGAATTCGTTGTTTTACTAGTAATTAATGGTAGCATTCGGGAATCCTAGGATGTTATAAAAAAACTTTTAGAACAAAAGTTGTAGCAAATTTTATTGTTACCAATATTGCTCTCTTCTACTCTTGCTCTCAGATGCGTCAATATTGAGGAAAATAAGAAAATATGAAAATTTGAAGAATTCGCTGCATAATTTATCTATAGTGAGAGTGACTGTCAAAGAATCAACACGGTTCGAATTTTGCTGCGAGTAGCTGCGAGTTTTCTCAATATGACACGTTTAAAGATAACACCTAAAAGAAAATGGCCCCAAGAAGATATATTTGAATTCATTAAAGTGTATGAAAAAAAATTCTGCTCTTTGGAATACCAAATTTAAAGAACATAGAAGAAATTTAAACGGGATTTATACCATTCTGACAACATAATTTGGCCTTCTAACAGTAAAATTAAGTCTTCTGCTAACAGTATTTGGTTTTTTAGTAGTGGTGTGTAGTCTTCTGTAAGAAAGATGTGCTTCATTTCCAATATCTAGTCTTTCATTAGTAATACTTAGTCTTCTGTCAGCAATATCTAGTCTCTTCCAGCAATTGAGCGTTTAAGTTTATATCTTCTAATAATTTTCCAAAATACTGCCAAGCCACTATTAAGCTATCACGTGCACCACAATAAACATATAGTTTGCATTTATAAGGGCCATTAAAGCATTCGAGTTCACTTTTTGTGAATCCAGTATGCCAAATAACTAACAATTTGACAACGAATGTTGATATTTGTTGACACCCAGCTCTAATCTACGCCAAATCCATGGTTTCACCCAACAGCTTCTTTTTATTTTTTCCTGTTTGCTTTTTTTAAATTTTGTACAGCACTATTGCACTTGCAATTTTGTTTACATCCATATTTACACAAAACACTGAAAGAAAATAAATTTTCCTTTCCATAGCACGGACATATTTCACTAGTGGACATGGTGAAGTTTCTCTCAAGTAGACACTTAGCTTTACCAATACTGCTCTGTTGTACTTTTGCTCTCAGATGCGTCAATATTGAGGAAAATAAGAAAATATGAAAATTTGATGATTTTAGTGGTTTTACTAATAGTTAATGGTAGCACTCGGAAATCGGAGCATGATACAAAAACACTTTTAGAACAAAAGTTGTAGCAAATTTTATTGTTACCAATATTGTTCTCGTCTACTCTTGCTCTCAGATGCGTTAATATTGAGAAAAATGCGAAAATGTGAAAATTTGATGAATTTCGTTGTTCTATAATTGTTAAAGGTAACACTTAGAAATCGGAGCATGTTATAAAAAAACTTCTAAAACAAAAGTTGTAGCTAATCTTATTCTTAACAATATTGCTCTCTTGTATATTTGCTCTCAGATTCATTAATGTTGAGAAAAATACGAAAATTTGTTGAATTTCCTTGTTTTACTATTAGCTAATGGTAACATTCGGGAATCGAAGCATGTTACAAAAATAATTTTAGAACAAAAGTTGTAGCAAAATTTATTCTTAACAATATTGTTCTCTTTCACGTTTGCTCTCAGATGCGTCAATATCGAGATAGATACAAAAATGTGAAAATTTGATGAATTCCTTGCTCTTTGAAGGTATTAAAGGTAACACTTGGAAATCGCAACTTGCTATAAGAAAACCTTTATTACAAAAATTGATGCAAATTTTATTGTTAACAATATTGCTCTCTTGCTCTTTTGCTCTTAGATACGTCAATATCGAGATATCCACGAAAATATGAAAATTTTATGAATTTGTTGCTCTTTCAAGCTATTATAGGTAACACTTGGAAATCGGAGCATGCTGTAAGAAAACTTTTATAACAAAAATTGTTGCAAACTTTATTGTTAACAATATTGATCTCTTGCACTTTTGCTCTTAAATACGTCAATATCGAGATAGATACGAAAATATGAAAATTTGATGAATTTAATGCATTTATTGCATAATGGTAACATTCGGGAAACGGAGCATATTACATAAAAACTTTTAATATAATAATTATAGTAAATTTTATTGTTAACAATATTGCTCTCTTTCATTTTTGCTCTTTGATGCGTCAATATCGAGAAAAATACGAAAATATGAAAATTGGATAAATTTATTGCATTTATTGCATAAAGGTGAATTTAGACATGCATGGATTTAGTGACGCCAGTTCTGTTTGCACGCCAGTAAAGGTTTACACTACATGTGCGAAAACAAAAATAAGTAACACGCCAGTTTTATTTTTAAAGTGTACTACAACTATATACACAAATTAGGACCGCAACCGAAACGAAAATAGATATATTCTAGGTTTAATGTGGATAATTAAACGTTATCTTTGAATCTGTTAACGTAATTGGGTTTTAATTATGAATGCAATGAAACATAACGTAAATTTGACATTAAAAAATGTTGTGTTTTGTGAATACTCATCTATGTTGTCATGGTTATATGTTTTTAGATTCATCACTGGCGCCAGTGACTTCAGAAGGGTGTAGACTTTTCCTATTGATGCATGTATGATTTCAGCTTGCATGACAGTTGATGTTTACACATGCCCTTTAATTTTACTGGCGCGCCGGTTTGTATTGGCGCCACTAAATCCATGCATGTCTAAACTCACCATAATGGTAACATTCGGGAAACGGAGCAAATTACATAAAAACTTTTCAAACAATAGTTATAGTAAATTTTATTGCTAACAATATTGCTCTCTTGCACTTTTGCTTCTAGATACGCCAATATCGAGATAGATACGAAAATATGAAAATTGTATGAATTTGT